AACCTAACTTATTAACTTAATGATTGAGTTATTAAAAAAATCATTTTTAAGCATCAGTTTTTAGAAATGTAACGATTTAAAATTTAAGGCATGACTAAGAAAAATTGTTTACTTCGGGATATTCGCCAAATTTTAAATGAAAATCATATCCTTTAGAATTGAACACAATAATGTTTCCATGAAAATTTCTATATTAATAATAACATTGCAGAGTGCTTCAACATAATTTAACATTGAATCTATTGTGCTAAGTAAAGTGAATTTTTAAAGAAGATTTTAAGACAACGAAATCGGAAATTTCGCCTTTTAAGGAAGAAATAAATGCAAAATCTCAATTGTATATAATTACTAACGAGATGGTTTGCACTTCTCTATCATAAAGAAAATATGATCGCTAGTGTAATTCCCTTTCTATTTCTCAAAGGAGAAAGTGGAATTATTCATGATCAACAATTTCTCTTCCCACATATTAATAAAATAATTCTCCCACAAAGGAGAATCAATCTATAATGAAACAAATAAATTAACAAGAACTTTCACTATAGGAAAATTATTATTTCCGAAGTTTTCATAAAGTCTATTTGTTGGACCATTTCTGCATTCGATACATATTGGGAAACAAATTATTGAATATAAAATTAGTTTTCATTGAATGTTTTAAGTAATTTGATCTTGGAATATTTATAATTAATCTTAAGCTATTAGTTTATATTCGTGAGCTGCCGTGTGCGATAGACTTACCTCCACGTGGTGAACTCTGGGCAACGTATACTCATACGGCAAAAAAGTCTATTGACTGGCAGTTGACTTCTCACTTCAAATTACCATCACCCAACTGTATGGCAAATTCGACCACATCCGCAATTCTCACCTCACCTTTATCTACCTTTGTGTCTGCCTCTTTTACATCTTTAAAACACTCTTCTGTTTCCCTCCTCCCCTCTCGACTTTTTTTCACTTTGATATTCCTCCTTCTCTCTGTGAAGCCTGAAGTCAACTAAAGGGCTAATGACAACCATCAAGACGCATGCCATTTGATATAAATAAATGAATATTCGTGGGATAAATATTTCACCAGACACATCAGAGGACAATAATTTCCCAACAATACAAATGGTTCCTTTAGTCATTTTGCCAGAATTAAGAGAATATCTCATCAAAAGGTATTAGATTAGTTAAAGCTGAATTTTTTATCATGCTAGGAAGGAAATTCAAGGATAAATATTTTCTATTTCACCTCTATCAGAGGTCGATTTTGACTATTGTTTTTAAATTTAAACATTAAAATTTGATTAGTTTATCTATTAAAATAAACCAAGATTATTAAATGTTATTAATTTTTTTCATTCAATCAACAAAATTATTCACGATTTATAGCAACTATTATAGATGTGACAATCACGTTGGGATAAAAATGACAGATTTTTGCCAAAGAGACCTAATGAAGAAAGCTGAATTTGCAAAGATGAGTCTCCAAAAAATTCCATTTAAATAGTATATTTTAATAAAAATATAAATTTATTAATCTCCTCTCCCCTCCCCCCCTCCTCCCACTTCAGAAATGCATCGACTCATATAATGAAACAGTTTTGCAGCAAAACTTTCCCACTCATTTTGAAGTATAAACAAATTTTAAAAATAAAATAAAATATTGCTTGGGGATTACAGGAAGTGTGCATTTCGCTGGTGGCGCGAAAGTTGAAAGGTTCAGTTATTATATCGCAGATCTTGGAATTGGTGTTCAACGGTGCACACCCCTAGTGAACGGAACGACCAACCGCAATGGCAAAAGAGGCAGAGAAATTCAGCTTTATTATTACAGGGCTCCCTTAATTCTACTTCGCTAAATAGAATGAGTGTGGAAACACACTTCTCTGAATGGATTTGCCGTTTATTGAGAGTTAATTTAGCAGATACTATTGAGTCAGATTGTTACAATCTTGAATATAAGTGAGAATTAAAGATAGGTTAATTTAAATTACATATTTATTAATTAAATTAAAAATTAAACTTTATGTTGATAGAAGAAGTATGTAATTTGCAATGACTGTCTTGTTTTATTTTTTTTGCATTATTGAGTTACCGTCGAAACGGTGATTTTCTTAAGGTGGGCTTTTAGTTAAAACGATTGTTTTCCTTCCCATTGGCTGACCCAAAATTCAAATTTTCCATTAATTTTCTTGCTTTCAGGTATTAATGTCAATATAAACGACACTCAATGAATGTTTCGAAGCAAATGGGTAATTCCTCGTCATGGGAAAAGATTATGTGAACAAATTTCCCAACCAAGAATGCTCTGTTCAATTCAAGGCCTACTTCCAAAGGGGTTTCACCCAGGAAAAAAATTGATGATAATTAATGTATTTCCATTAAGACGGGCTAACTTGCAGAATCGATGATTTGCTATATTTAACAGTAATTCAGCGTTCCATCTTTTTTAGGCTAAAACAATGTCGAACACATCGTTGTAGAATAAAGTTCAGGAATAAGGCAATTCAGTTTTATAATTTAATCTTCGGAAGCGTGCTTAATTTTGGAAGGTTAGCAAATCCGCAACGATTTTGTTTTCCACGTGTGCAGAATATTTTCATTACCATCAAGAAAGCCTATCTTGAGTTGGAGCACTTCGACTCGAAGTCATAATTCTCACGTCGTTTATATTCGCCATTAGTGCACAAAATTACGAATTCAAGAAAGGCAAACAAAATGCGAACTCACTCCAAAATACTCGTCTTGACATTTACTCCGGAGATCTGGCCTGCTTGTATCGAAAAACATCTTGAAGTGGTGTTGAAACTCCTGTCCTTGTGTGGTGAATAATTTGGTGCTTTCAGTTGTGTATCCGCTGAAATAGGAATGCAAAATTGCCCAATTAACTCAGTGTTCATTCCAATACTATGTGAAAATAGATTAGGAATTGCCAAAGTAGATGCTTTCAGTCATAACCAGGAGGCAATGAATATTCAATTCTCTGACACAATGTAGCCCAAATTATTTGTTCACATTTATTATCCTACATGCACATATTTGTTTTTGAAATATTCACCTATGCATGAATTCCGATTATGTAAGTAATTCACTCAAATTTTGGTCTCATTCTATCTTTTTCTTCGAGCTCATACTTTAGCGATTGGTCTCGAACGCCTTAAGTCAAGTGCTTGTGAAATCGAAGATTAATCAATATCCATTCTCTATACCAAGATCACATGTCCACAACAAAATCGTGTCTTTTCATCTTTTCGCTGCTTAGGTTGCAAAAGTGATTCCAAATGATCGCATGGGTTCAACGCCAATGTTAGCCTTCTCATTGGCTATGGGAGCACAGACAAGAGAAAATAAATGTGGAATTGAAATTAAATAACCCTCACAAACATTTTCATGATTTCACAAATGCCTGCTCCAACTCTTCACCCAATTACTCACCAAGATGCCAAGTCACAATCGCAGTGGAAAGCACCCCAACCATTCGATGCTTAACTCTGGCATCAAACCTTAAGAGTCCAATCAACTATTTTGCCCATGGAATTGTTTAATGCAAATTTTTGATCGTTTTCGAGCACACATTTGTGTGTATATATTCGTATGCCTTAGAGCAGTCCTGTTGACACGTGTTTGTAATAATTTTAAAAAATCGTTAACAAGTTTGTGTAAAGGTATTTGATGCATATTTCCAACTTATCAACAACTTTCTGTGAACTTATCTCACTCTCGACTAACATCTTTCTTCCACATCAATCTGATAATAAGGCCCAACCCTGAGTTGTTCATTCATTCTTTCATATGGTATTCAACTATTTCTCTATGTGTAACACTGCAGAAGTCAAGTCACCCCCATTAAGTGTCGATAAACATTAATTCAAATTGCCTCCACTTCCTAATTATCCCCTATGAAGGTTGAGTGCTGATCATTGGGGCGGTGCTTACAGATTTTAGCTTATTCGAACTGCTTTAGGGCTGAAAGAAACGGTTTTTTAAATATATGTTGTTGGAATACCAATCAAAATTCTACAGCAAAGATAGTTGAACAAACTCCATGCTTTACTACTAGGCATTACCAGAAGGAACGCATAATGAAATTTTACTCCGAACTTGAAATGCCAACACTCTGGACTGAGCGCAGACCCCTACAATGCTTCTTCCCGCCTTTGCACTCCAGTAATCGGTCATTTAACCACTTCACATATTGGTGATTGGCACGTCTTAGCGCACCTGCATGTCTCAAGATATCCAACTTTCATTGAAACCTCATGGACTCCATCTTTAGAGTGGGGGGTGTGCAATAGACTTAATTTCACGTGGTGCATCCTAGATAACGTATTCTTATGCGACAAAAAGGTTTATAGCCTGGACGTTGACTTCTGACTTCAAACTATCATGATCCCACTGTATGCCATAGTCGACCACTTCCACAGTAATCATCTTGCATTTTCTCTGCCTTTGTGTCTGTCTGTCTGTCTCTTTCACATCTGTGAATCACTCTTCTGTCCCACCCCCCTCTTGAATTTTTCTCACTTTGATGTTCCTCTCCACTTTGAAACCCGAAGTCAGCTAAATGGCTAGTGATAACTATCAATGCGCCTGCCATTTGAATTAAATAAATCTTTAGAGTGTTAAATGAAAGATTAAACTGCAAATGAGGTAAATGAATGGTGGTTTAGATAGCTTTCATTTTTAGGGGGTTTAGAGACCTCTCAGTTGATATCTTGTGACCATGTGAATTTGAAGAGATATTTTAGTCACCGAATAGACATTGGAGGTAACCGTAATCTAAGCATCGGCTAAGCTATTGGGTTCTAAGTACTATTTTACTAATCTGTTATGATATTTATTGAAATTGCATAAACAAAACGGTATTCTCCAGATACAAATAGAACAGCAATTGATAGACCTATTCAAACTTTAAAGCGGAAATGGAAACGTAGTACCCCCCCCCCCACATGACATCGTTTAAATTCATTTAGCCTACGTTTTAAATTGTCAGTAAATGAAAAATAATTCACTCACATGCTGAAGATTTCAGTGAAATCGTAAGCATGGGTTACATTTGGGGTGCGGTCAATGACACATTCCTTATCTTCTGAAGGCACCATTCCAGGAGGGCATGATTTGCAAGCTTGTTCAACAGTCATCACACTGGAAGCGTCACCTATAACCATTGTTCCATTTGGACAGGGGACGCATTCTGCGTGAGATTCGTTGGTGGTTGAATTCCAAACCATTGTGTAAAAATTTCCCTCATTGCAAGGTTTGCAGCTGAAATTCAGGGCAAAGGGAGTCCGGGTATTAACCAAAAACCACAAGGATATTTGGACCGAAATTCAATTTGTTTATCTACCACAAAAATTTCTACATAATACTAACCTGAGGAGTGAGGTAGAGACGCTAGGTGCAATTCTTCTACAAAGCTTTAGTTGTGCTAAGGATCTCTCATCCTTTCCAAAAGGTCTATCCACTTGGATTATGGCAGCGTTTAGTTAGAGCTTGAATTTCAATACAACTTGACACAAGCTGTAGAATATGTAGGCTAGCATGTGCCAAGATTTGTCTTCAATTGAACCGCCCTAGTCCAATTCAATTCAAATATATATATTTGACTGCAGAATAAAGCCCTTCACTTAACCTCATCAAAGTTAAATGATTGGGAAATAAGACCTTTCGTATCTTTTTACTAACAGAATCACCTGTTGGCTTACTCTATCGGATGGTTTTTTTAGATTTGACGCTAGATAATATGTTTCAACGAGACAGTTTATCACAGCTGAACTCCAATCCATCTGCCAATAACAGTTTATGCGCTAAAGCTAGGATCCTAATTAACTAGGCGGTTATTTTAGGAAAAAATACCATTTTTAATATGAGTTAACGATTTGGTAGAAATAGGTTCCAGAATATGGTTAAGGTTGGTGATTAATTGACAGTATTCAGGGAAATTACTTACAGAGTGCAATCTTATACGCCGAAAAGGCATGAGCTTATGTCGTAAATAAACCCCTGGTATTTTTAAATAAATAATAAATACCATTAAAACGCAGCCGGGTTTTATCGCTTTTTGAAGTAGCAGGGCGCATAAAACCATCAACCACACTCCATGACTTTATAGTACACTTTAGCTCAACTTAAAATTTGCCAAGGAGTAACCGAGGAGAATATCAGTTACTTTCAACGCCAAAATTGATGGGAAAATCGGAAATTAGGCCATAAAACCGAAATGTGGTGCAATTAAAACATGCACACACACACAAAATGGAAAAATAAAATGAAGAATCTTTTTTTTGCAAAATGATATGGAACGATGTAGCTAATAATGAAATAAATATATTGGAGCCTATTCAACAGAACTAATTTTTAATTAATTTTAGTAAAATCTACTTAAATTTCGGCCTACATGAAAGATCTATTTATGATATTAAATAAATAAAACTCATTTTGAAATTGGTATTAGTCAAATAAATCCTGTTATCATTTCTGTTGTTAGGTGCAATTTATCTGCTTTACTTTTAACCATCTCAAATCGAGTTCAGCCTCTCGCATACTCATCTCTCAGGCTTCCTCTAAAACTCTTCTGACTTCAAATTACTATGGCCAAACTATAGTTGACTTCTGACTTCAAACTATCATCACCCCACTGCACTGGTCATATTCGACCCCTTTCACAGTACTCATCTTACCTTTTTATGCCTTTGTGTCTGTCTGCCTGTCTACTTTACATCTGTGAATCACACTTCTGTTCCTCCTCTCGACTTTTTGTCACTTTGATGTTCCTTCTCCTCTCTGTGAAGCCCCGAAGTCAGCTCCAGGGCTAATGATAACTATCAAAACGCCTTCCATTTGATATAAATACATAAAACCTTCGTGATCCAACATTCACTGATCACAAAGAAACTAATTAACAGTTGACAATGGGAACACTGTAAACATAAATCGAAGCATGGTTAGTTGCTTTTATTTACGCGCGTACATTCGATGATTTTAAATAAATTGCTTCATTAATACCAATTTGTAGAGCATTCGTGAGACCTCGACCTTGAAAGCAGTTTCCATATCTCCGCTATCATATTAAATCTGATTTTATAAAAAATATTACGTGAATGGAAGGTCAGATGGAGTGATGTGGGTTCTCATAAACCCCCATAGTTTCCGTTTCAAAGGCTTCTATGGCCGTATCGTTGCCTTCAAAGAAAGTAAGCCTAAAAGCACATTAAGGCATTTTTCTGTTGAATCTCCTGACATATTGTTGCGTAATTAATAAGCTTAGCCTAAATCTGCATTATCCAATTAATTATTTACCATTCTTATCCTAACTTTTGTTTCAAAACGCTCGAATAATTAATGCTCCGATCAAATGTAGTCGAATTGAGGCAACTTAAGTATTCTTGAAGGCAACTACCATTTATTGTGCTCATGGGGATTCAATGGGACGCAGACCTGATCAGAGGTGTTGTATTTTAAGAGTCATATCATATAAATAAGGGGAATGAATGAAAGGATTTGTTAAAGGAAAAGAAAAGGAGCGTCGATAAATCTACAATGTTGTGCAAGGTTATTTTTTTCCCTTCATGACGAATGTCTCTCTCCTGCAAGTTGGTGTGCAGAAAAAAACATTGACGAAACTATCCTGCAAATCCTTTTAAATCGGAGATGTTGAACACAAGGATATTTCTATGCCATCAAACACGTTACAAGGAGTAAAAGAGGACTAATTAAGCAACCAAGGCTGATTGTGAATCGATTCAATAGAACCTTTCCATATCTACTAGAACCTCTCAAATAAAGCTTGCTTGGGCCACAAATTTTCTGATTCAAGGTTTGCTATAAGGTGATTTTATAAAGCGCAATGCAAATCACTCTGCTTCTAGTGGACTCTTTGCGACGTCATGTTTGGACTTTTTACAGTCAAGCACATTTATATAGGATTATTCAATATCCCCTAACGATGACTTAAATGAACCCACAGTCACACACCAAAATCGATACTCACCACAACGACAGTCATCGTCTTACAAAAAGTACTTTCATGCAAATCAACGTCTTTAACTATCCCCACCCCCGCCATTGTTATTCAGAAAAAAACTGTTTTGAAAACTGAAAACTTTCCAATTCAAAGCGTTTTTTACCCGCATGAGCTTTACCTAACCGCACAGGTAAAAATAACCAGCGATCAAGCTCTGGTAAGTTAGTTCTTTGCAGTCTTAACTACTAACGGTAAACAAGCGCCCTTTGACAAGACAAAATCGAAAAATATCAGTACAGACTGTTGTACTATGGTGATTGGGGTAGGGAGGGAGGGGAGGGGAGGGGTGGGGATGGGGATGGGGATGGGGAGAACGGAAAACGAAGAAAGGGAAAAAGCGTGAGAGCCCGATGCTAGTATCGAGCATTTGAAATTCTAGTCAAAACATCACAAATCAATGATGATCGATAATTGATCGTCTTTATGATGCCGATAACTCTTGATCGGAAGGGGGGGGGGTTCGATTCAGTGTTCACACTCAGTTTATGCGAGCACTCGAGTAAAAAAACTATATAATCTTGCATAAAATTGTGCCATGTTCGCAGAGATTCCTCCCCAATTATTAATGAAATAATAATTCAAAATGATTAAGTAATTAGATTTAATCGATAAACTGCGCTACTTCTAGTACTATCCAGGAACTGAAGCCAAATTCAAATTCAGAAGCCCAATTAAATGGATATTCCAGTTTTAAACTTTAACAAAACATTTCTCCCAAATCGTTCAATGCGAATAGCCGAGTAGAATAGTTTGAAACGATATTGACCTTGATTGATAAAATTTTGCCTGAACACTATTTGTATGTAATATAAATATATAAAGATTTTGATTTATTTTTTCCTATTTCCACCTTAAATATAAAATAAGAAAAAGTTATATATAGACCCCAAAATGAGAGGGAAATTTCCTAATGATATTATAACTTAAAGCGTACATTACTTATAATTTTAGCAAGCAGTAAAAGTTGGTAAATGTGCAAGGCGTTTTCAGCTGAAGATAAGTACACTTTAACGCCAATTAAACGATTAAAACATTTCCACTCCCTTTTTACCTTTTAAAAAAAACTAAATAAAAATTCAAACGTTTTTCCACTTGTTTAAGGCATCGCATCGAATTTAAATTGTCATTTTTAAATAATTTTTTCTCTAAATAAACACGGAATAATTTTATCAAACATAAGATTATTAAATTAACTAAAAAAGCGCTTGCCTTATGGAAAAGAACTCGTTCCTCAAACCAGATGACGAATCGATTAATAATGAGCAAGTATAGAGCAACTTGAATTCGAAACTTATCCAAAGAAGGGCTGCTATAGCATCTGGACGTGTCTCTCAGCATCTACTTCAATCTCCTCCTCCACATGAACTAACAGAGTTTTGTTATACAGGAGAGGCAAAATGAGTGCAATCAAGCCTTAAATTCCATTTTGACGTCAATAGGGGTTAATTAATCCCACCATTAACAATTTACTTTGCATGAAACTGCGAAATTTCAGGCAGAAATTTATGGGGCCGATCTTGAAATTACAGACTTGAGATACCAGATTTAAATGTGAAGATCTCATTTTGGCAAATTCGGTAAAGTTCTATCCTTCATTCAACGTACACTAAGTATCATTTAAAATTTCATTTTGTTATGAGTTTTCAAAATAATGATATTCTCAAATGACAAAGCGGTGTAATAAATGGAATATATCAAAATAATCCCACGCGAACGTTCATTGTTTTGTTTGGTGGAAATTCATTTTGTGTATTAGTTTCTGCGAAACCTCTAATGGTGAATATTGATAGTTCTTCTTATTTCAGAAAATTTGATATGCAATAAACAAATACTGTAGGATTAAAATTGTTCATCTTCACAAGAAGCTCAATATGGAAAAATTAGATGGGAGCCGTTTATACCTAGTAAAAAAAATTTCGAATGTGTCATTAAGTGAGTTCTAAGATCCTATCCATTGTGATAAAAGATTGCACAAGTTAATTCAATCGCGTGGTTGTGAAGGCTGCTTCGGTAAATTCGTTCCTCTTGATTGCCAAGAGCAGAGCTCACCGAATACTATTATCTTGTAGTTTCAAGAAAATTATAACTCATTTTGAAATGGCAGTCGACTGCCAGGCCCATTTTAAAACTGAATAGAAATCTTGATCTTGAAGTTTCGTACTACTATACATATATATATATATATATATATATAATCCTATTGCAATA